TGTCTGTCTGTCTGCCTGTCTGTCTGTCTGTCTGTCTGTCTGTCTGTCTGTCTGTCTGTCTGTCTCTGTCTCCCTCCCTCCCTCCCTCTTTCCCTCCTTCCCTCTCTCCCTCTCTCCCTAGCTCCCTCTACCCCCTTGCCCCTACCCCACTCTCTCACTCTTCCTCTCCCCATCTCTGCTCAGGCCATTGTGGTAACCGACGGTGAGCGTATTCTTGGACTGGGTGACTTGGGCGCCTATGGTATGGGCATTCCCATTGGCAAACTGTCCTTGTATACTGCCTGTGCAGGGATACAGCCCCACAGCTGTCTGCCTATCACAATTGATGTGGGCACCAACAATGAGGTAACAAAATGCTTTCTGCCTTGATATCTTTGTGCACAGTAACTTTTTTTTCGTATTGATAGGTATTCGCCATTTCTGTGTGACCTATTTTTAGATTCTCAAAATATGTTTATGCTACAAACGCAACTATAATTTTAGCTAATATTGACTAAAATGGATTGCTGACCCCTCAAACTATCGGGACAAAGTGAACTTGAAATGTGTGTGGATGTAGAATGTGAATAGAAAAAGGGTTATAAGATAAGAAGTGAAAATGGAAAAAAATGATTAATAAAAACGCCACAGGAAGAAGCAATGCATAGTAGGTAAAGGGGACTTCTGGTTCACCACTCGAAGAAGGCTGAGAGGGACAAAGGCTTAGTAGAAAGACAAGACTTGATAAAAATTCTCCCCACTCAGGAATCGAACTCAGGTCTTCTACATATTGTGGCAAAGAGCTTGGATGCCAATATAATGGGTGTTCAATATCACTTTATGCTTGCTATTGAGGGAGAACTTGGGCTATACAAGTGTTATTTAATATTGTTATTTAATTCAAATATGACTTAGTGCTCTGTTAAGAACTTGATTTTAATGATATCATTAAGATGAGGGGCTATGTCATTAAGATGAGTGGCTCTTCACTTCTTGTTTATAAACAGTCTTTCACATGATCAAGTATATCTAACATTTTTAAAGCTTAGATTTGTACTTTTTAATGACAGTATTTAGGACTTTTATGTGAAGTCTGGTTTCCACATCTTTCGAGTTAAATTTCTTATGAACAATGATTTGCGAACTAATTGTTTACAAACAAATGTCAGCTACTTTTGAATGAATGCAGAAGCCTGCCATATCTTACTCCATGTCTCAAGCTCCTATATGGAATGTTCTTGTTTTGTCTGGATGCCTTTTATTTGCACATACATTATATTGCCTAATTGAATGCGGCTAAAATTCTACTGGACAGTGGATATTATTGTTTTTTTGCGAATGTCATTGTGATATCTTGCAGCAAATCCGTAATGATCCACTGTACATTGGTTTGAGGGAACCTCGGGTGACCGGTGCACTTTACGATCAGCTGATAGATGAGTTTATGGAAGCTGTCGTCAAAAGGTACGTATCTGAGGAATAGTTGATGGGATTTAATTAACTTACTATTTTGTTTTAATGTGTCAAAACAGCAATTTTTGCCTTTTGTGAATGCATTCTTCCGATCTCTTAAAGATTTGAATCTAAAATAGAGATGCAGACTCGGATGATATATGGTTGACTTTTTTATCTTTGTAATAATTCTGTTTAAGAATCATTAGAAATGACAATAAAGATTTCAGTTCCACCTGTCGAAGTAAATTTAAATTTGAGCTTCAGTTGTAATCCTGATTTGCTAAGAAAGGGCTCAAATTGTAATCAGCTTGCTTAAATAAAGTCCCAGCTACTCTCAAACAAGGCCAAAAGAAGCTGTGAACTTTCAAAGACCTAAAAATGTTTCCCCCGTTGGTCCTTTTTATCTTCTTATCAAAAGCTGCTTTAATACAATACTATATCCAAATAGACCTGATTGTTTTTCTTCTATTATCTTTGTTACTGACTTTCACATCACCAGGGTCAACATCTCTGGCCCCCCCCCCCCCCCCCCCCTCCTTCCCCACTCCTCCAACCACAACGTCTGTCACCGTCATTATTATCAATAGCAGCTGCTGACTAAAAAGAACATAACGAAATACCAGTAGCATTTTGTGTTCTGCATTTTGAATATTTTTTTATTCACAGATACGGGAAGAACTGTCTAATCCAGTTTGAAGACTTTGGCAATCACAACGCTTTCAGATTTTTGGAGAAATACAGAGAAAAGTTCTGTACCTTTAATGATGATATTCAAGGTAAGTTTCAGATGATGTATCATGAGCAGTCAGTGTCTCTAAAAACACTGTTAGTTTATTTAAGAAGTAGGACCCCATCTCCCAACAAACTAAACCCTAAAAGGTCCATTTTGAGAATGTCCCAAACCACAGTCATCTGCACAGTTGATCAACAAGATACCTACTGAGCTAGTAAAACACCCATGCCAGACTGGGATAAATCATTTCTATAGTGCAGGATGTGTTACAAATAGTGGGATATTGTCCAAGAATCCTTATCAAATTAGGACAAAGTAAAACTTTTTCTTCAAAACAGTTATGGCTCTGCTATTATTATCCGTATTACAAACCAGGAAAAGGTGGCATGAATCCTCCCAACTATTAGCCAATACATAACAATATTGGCTGTACTGATTCTATTGGAACAAAGCCGTTTGAGGTTCCTCAAGACTGCATTCTCTCTCACAAAATGTTCAGGGTTTCTTTTTTAACTCTTTGCGGACGTATTGCCGATATATCGGCGCAAGTCCACACCCCTTGCGGACGTATCACCGACATATCGGCTGTGATGGGGTGCCTCAGTTTTGTTTCGTTTTAACACGGTCCACGATTTATAAGTACTTTTTATTGTTATTGAAAACTTGGAAAGGGTTTAGGAAACGAAAACATTTAGTGTCACTTTGTTAAAGCGTCGGTCTTGCGAAAAACGAGTGAATTAGTTCTTGCTGTCTTGCATCAACAAAACTATCTAACCGGACTCAGTATAAATATCATAACTCAATGAAAAATTGGAATATTGCATTCAAATAAAAAGCTGCACATTCATAAATTTATTGAATCTGCTCTTGGCCTGTATATGATAAGATAGCTATGCTGATTTGCTTTCACTTGTTTAGTCCGCCCCCTCTTCTCCCCCTCACCCCTCTTCTATCATTTCTTCTTCTTCTTCTTCTTCTTCTTCTTCCACCTCACAGCCCATCCCTC